TTTTTTTTTTTTATTCACATATATTACTGCGAATAAACTTGGGAAAATTTCAAGGCTAGAAATTATTTTCTTTAAGCTTTTAAATATTTAACAATAATATATGTTTATATCTGATAAATGCTTTTATCAGTTATGAATTTGAAATCTTGACCGAATTTTAATCAAAAATAATACGCTTTTCTTAATTGATGAAAAAATTCAAATGCAAATTTTAAACTTAAACAAATTAAAGGATTATTTGGGAAAGTTTGCAAAATGATTTCCTCCTTTGTTTTCTTGTAATTTATTAATGAATGTTGTTTTTTTTTTTTATTTAGGATATTTCGATTCTTTAAATTGTGTCACTTTTTTTTTTTTCAATTCACAGCATAATAGTAAATATATTCGCAAATATGCAAAAGTTGGAATGATTTTAATTAAAAGTTGAAATTTAATTTTTAATCACATACGAAGTAAATTAAATGACATATATAAGTTGACATGAACTGGAAATATCAAAGTTAATTTCTAAAATGAAAAATTCACCTAAATGATTAATAGTAAAGTAAAATATATATTGGGGATATTTTTAAATGCTTAAAAATTAATTTTATTAGATTTTCATGTATAGGTATACTAGCTAAAAGTAATATTTCACTGTTTTAATTACTAATGATGCTATTACAACTGAATAATTGAACTCTGAATATTTCCATTTTATAAAAATTTTTGGAACATTTAAAAAATTTTCTAGAAGTACTGTTTAAATTCGTAGATTTATGATACTATCAGTAATTCCTTTTATCATATCATTTCACTGATATGATATATGCAACTTGAACACATGTCACATTAATTCAATCGATATTTCACTTTAATTTCAAATACTTTTTATCAAAAAATGAAAAAAAAAACCCGTGATAATTTTAATTTGATTTTCAAAAATTTAGCTTGTAATTCTATAAAGTGTCAATTGAAAGTCCAGTATTACTTAAGTAATTACTTAAGTAATTACTATTAGTATTACTTTATCATATTCTTGCTTTTGCTATGATAAGATTACCATATTAGCAGCAGAAAATGAAATTTCCTTCATGGAGTAAATAATGTTAATCAATTAATAGTTAATCAGTTGTAATAAAAGTTAATCAATTGCTGAATTTAATTAATTAGCTGTAATCATCTATCAGTTGAAAGTTAATCATTTATGGAACAAATTAGCCAAGTATAATAAGCTGATTGAAAATATGCGACAATTATACATTTATAATTCTACAATAAATTATGATTTGCATAAATTACTTACAATTTATTGCATTCATGAGAAAATTTAATCAGCTAGTTAATTAATAAATACAATAATTTTAATAAATTTAATTAATCATTAGTTGTAATCATTTGCCAATAATTTTTTAAAATTTTTCCTTGACCAGAAATTACTTCAACTTTTTCATTTAACTTTAACTTTTTTAATTTTTTCCTCAACTTTTTCATTTTTATTTATAATATGGATCACAATATTGAAAAATAATAAATTCTGTTAAATTAAAAATAAACTTTTAATCAAAATTTTTAATCTATTAGATTAAAACATAAGCTTAGAGTAACAACATTACACCATATCAGCGGAATTATTTGTAGGAAAAATTTCAACAAAATTATTTGTTGGAGAAATTTCAACAAAATTATTTATAGGAGAAATTTCAACAAAATTATTTAGTAGGAGGAATTTCAACAAAATTATTTGTTGGAGAAATTTCAACAAAATTATTTGCAGGAGAAATTTCAACAAAATTATTTAGTAGGAGGAATTTCAACAAAATTATTTGTAGGAGAAATTTCAACAAAATTCACCAATTCATTCCATTTAACTCCTAACCGATACAACAATAACATTGTCTGTTGACAATTATTTTAGTGACAAACATTTTATTTTGGATTTTAGTTACCTTTTAAAATATTTCAATTCACAGAGATTATCATTCAAATTGGAAATTATAAAATTTTAAAATTAAAGTGATAATGAAGGAAGGAAAAGAAAGTTTTTTTGATTATTTTATTAATTTCACAAATAATTTTTCACATCAAATGGGGAAAAAACAACAACTATAGTATATTAATCATAAATTATATTGATGAATTAGATTTACTATTATTATCTAATTATAATGATTTCCAATTATATCGTTAATTAATTAATTAATCAACAAACCACTTCTTAATTTTTTAGCCTAATTTATCATGAAATAAAAATGCGGTAGATTGAAATATCTATTTCAATCATTTCACTTTGTGAAATTTAGTCATTCGTTAATTTCTAAATATTAAAAATTATTATCCATCCATCTTTTAGCTATTATTATCTGATTGCATCAGATATTGGTATTTATTATATTCTCTTTGTTATCCTGAATTCCTGATGTTTTCACCTGAAAATGATCCGGAATACCTGAAATTATTTTGTTCATCAAATTTCATTCAATCATAATTCATCATAATTGAAATAACTGAATATACTTTATGAAATCCCCATCACAAAACTATATGAATAAATCGATTAGATAGATAGATGGATATAGATTAGATGGATAGATAGATGGATAGATAGGATAGATAGATAGATAGATGAATAGATAGATAGATAGATAGATAGATAGATAGATAGATAGATAGATAGATAGATAGATAGATAGATAGATAGATAGATAGATAGATAGATAGATAGATGATAGATAGATAATAGATAGATAGATAGATAGATAGATAGATAGATAGATAGATAGATAGATAGATAGAT